TCACGGTGGACGAGTGAGTGCTCGGCCTGGGCCACCAGGGCTGGGGCAGCGGGGCCTGGGACGAGGATGGGCTCGCCTTCCTCCCACGCGGATTTTAACAGAGGGAGGTCCTGCCAAGCCACCAGCAGTGGGTGGACCCAGACAGGAGCCTTGGGAGGGTGGCCTGGCCTCCCACTGTTCCAGCTGCCTGCTCCCCGGGCTCCGGGATAGGGGACGGGGCGGGACGAGCCAGGCTGGGGGCACCCGCACTTGCAAATGGGACCACTGGTGCCAGGGACGGGGCCTCCTGCCAGCGAGAGGAGCCCCTCTCTCGGACCTGCCCTCTGCCTCCCCAGGCGGCTTTGTGCCTGCTGCTCAGCCAGGGCCATGGTGTCCCTGGTTCTGGGCACCTGGGTTCCACTTGGGTGGGCGGAGTCACTCTGAGGTGACAGTCCACGTGCGTCAGAGCCACGGCTCCGTGGAGTCCGAGCAGCAGCCGCCTCCAGGGTGGGTTCTGGCTCTGTGGGTTTGGGGTGACAGCCAGCGCCCCGCTCCCAGAGTCTGGGCCTTTCAGAGGTGTCAGGAGTGATGGGAGTGGAGGCGGGAGGGGCGGGGGGGGGGCGGCGAGCAGAGCTGTCTCTGTCACCATCTGCGTGATTGCCTGCCCGTCACCCGGAACAGCTCAGCGAGGTTGGGCACAGACAGCGTAGGGCTGGCAGCCTGCGGTCCCATCCTCGGGCAACCCCACCAGGATGCCGGCTGTGCAGCCACAGGGAGTGCCCGCCCTTGGCTCTGCCCCCAGACAAGGCGGGGCTCTCGAGCCTATCACCTCACCTGGAGGTGGCACCAAAGGAGATGGGACATGTTCACAAAACCTCCTTCCGTCCCATCCTCGTCCACGGGGTGGGGCTCAGGCCGCTTCACCCTGAACACCACACCCTCCAGGCTCGTCCCCTCGGTGTGGGGGTCTCGGGGCTCCAGCCCCCTCCCCCTCCCGCCAGGTGTCTCCCGGGGATGGGGCTCTGGGTCCCAGTCTCTCTATTGCGTCTCCCAGGAAAGTGCCCATGTTTGGCCTGGAGGCCATCTGGAGGGACGGCCAGGTGGTGGGCCACGTGCGCAGGGCCGACTTCGGCTTCACCATCGACAAGACCCTCGCCTACGGCTACATCCGGGACCCCAGCGGCGGGCCGGTGAGTCAGGGGGTGTTAGCAAGGACCACATGGCAGCTTGGTGGCCCTGTCTTAGGTGTTGGAAGCCCCCATGGCCTGGGCCTCTGCCCGGGGCCACGGGACACGCGGCCGAGAAGCCGCCTCCTTGTGTGTTTTCATTGTTCTCTCCAAGTCCTGAGTGCCGGGAGGGAGGGCGCCCTTAATCCCAGGGCAGACTCCCCAACACCTTCCATGGGGCCCAGCCCTGTGTTATTCCTGCCAGATGTTGGCTCTGTTGGACCCAGGGATCTGGGCACAGGATCCACCCGCTGGTCAGGCCCTTGGTTCAGGGAAGGCCCTGTGTGGGGTTGGCTTGCTCGCAGGGGAGGAAGCGAGGCCGAGATCCTGCTCCGAGAAGCAGCAGGGGTGGGCCCAGCACCACCAGGAAGTAACGAGTGACGGCGTCGCTCCTCTGCCCCTAGGTCTCCCCGGACTTTGTGAAGAGTGGGGACTACAGCCTGGAGAGGATGGGGGTGGCCTACCCTGCCCGGGCTCACCTGAAATCTCCCTTTGACCCCGACAACAAGAGAGTGAAGGGGATCTATTGATGGGCCTATGGGCAGGACCCCAGCTGCTCAGGCACCAGGGCCCTGCCCTCCACCCATGTGGATAGAGAGGGTGGGAAGAGGACCCAAGGGCCCAGTCTCTATTCCATCCATCCTCCCAGACACACCTGTGCATCTTGGGCCAGGACCGTGACAAGCTTCCTAGAAGGTGCTGAGAGCGGACAAGCCCAGCGCTCGGGCAGGGAGGCTCCGCCTGCTGCTCTGGGCGGTGGAGGTTTTCAAGGCGCCATCCCTCCCCCCCCCGCCCCCCCAGTCAGTCGGGGACGGAGCAGGATTGATTAGTAATGTCTGCCTTGGGCACATGCCAGGCAGCTCTGGCCCTCTGATTCAGGCCGCTGGGCGCAGGGCCTGTCCCCGATCCCAGGACGGCGGCGAGGTCTTCCTGCCTCGATGTCCCAGGTTTTCACACAGGAAGTCTCCCGAGAGTCCCAGCGTGAAGTCCTCGCCCGGACAGACAAGCCCTCTGCCTCAGTTTCCCCAGGCGCTCCTTGATGTCATGTCTCAGTAAGAACCTGACGGAACCTCCTGCCCGAGTGGCCGTTGTCCTGCTGTGTCCTTTCTCTTCTCTGGACCCTGGGGAGGGACCTGGCCTGGGCTCTTCTCTGGGCATCTGCCGTGTGGCCCTGCTGCCCTGCCAGGACGGCTGCCTGCTGCCCCACCCATATGCCCAGTCCCAGCCCCTCCACTCGCTCCCCCGCCGACTTCATTGCCCACTGGGCACCCCGGGGCCAGACAGCCTCAACAATGCTGCCCTGCACGGTGTGACTCCCAATCACCACAGTCCCTCCCTGGCTCTCCGGGAAGCGGGGGGACGTACTTAGGGACAGAGGACAGGGCCACAGAAGAGCCCCAGGAGCACGGTGGTGATTGGGGTGCAGCCTGGCCTCTCGGGGGCTCACACACGGCCTCAGGCTGAGCTGGGACGGGCCCGGCTAGTAAAGCCGTCGCCAGGGAGGACATTTGGGTCCAGCGGCCTTTGGATAGCTGGTTGGCCCCTTTGACAGCCCACGGGCGGGGTACAGGGGCCTCGGCGAAGCACCACAGAGCCGGGCCTGCTCACCCCGGGCCTGGCTCCGGCACAGGGGCCAGGGGCGGCCACGTCCCAGACAGCTGGCCTGCCTCGCCGGTCCCTGCAGGCCCTGGGCAGGCTGCGCGGTGTCCCCCCACAGCCTGCCTTCGGGGTGCTGAGGACCAGGAGGCCGACTTGGGTTGTAGTCTGACTCCTGCCTCGGAGCTGAGCTCAGAAACAGACCCCGGTTTTGCCCGTTTGTGTGTTTGCTGTTCTCGAGGAGAAACAGCTCTGACCACGTGGAGAGCGCCGGGGCCACGGGCCGAGGCCATCCTGGGCCGCCTCCCACGCTCGCCCGCCCCATCCCGCCACAGGAGGTCGCGGTCCAGGAGGGAAAGCCCTTGTCCAGGGCACAGGAGAGGCAGGAATGGGCCCTCACTGCATTCGGGCCACCACCCGGGCCCTTCAGAAGGTGGGCAGGGTCTGAGAGGGGCTTGGCCGGGCGATCTAGCGCCTCGCTTAGCGTTCACAAGGCCGGCACGGCGCCCGCTTCCTGAGTGAGGAGGCGGAGGCCAGGGGCCCAGACTGGGGTCAGACCGGGCAGCGCCTGGGCTCCCGCTGCCGCCTCGGCCTCCCCGTCTGTGGGGCAGGAGCGACTCGTGTGTGGGCTGAGTGAC